CTGCTGCGACTTGACGGCCCTTCCCACCATCAGACAAAGGTCTGCATGGTGAGAATTTACTCGTTCCTCTTCTGATGTACGAGATCGTAGGCTAGGAAGCCTGGTGGGCAGATAAATCTATTCGCCTGCAAGGTCGCACACATTTCCTTGCTGTTGTAATAATCCCTGTGCTGTCCCAGCTAGCGTTTAACAAAGCGTCAGACGGAATAACCCCCCTGCCCTAAAACAATGCAGTCCTATTGAAAACCGGAAAGGGTCTGCAAAACACAAGGAGACCAATACTTTGTAAAATGCATTGGAACAAATTTTGAGTCCTGGGCACCTTTAAAACAAAGGTTTATTCAAGGTATGAGCAAACCCTCGTGGGTCTTAAAGGCGTCACGGGACTCCAAATTTGTTCTGCTGCTTCAGACCAACACGGCTGCTCACTTGGATCTTGGAAAATGCCTGCTAAGAGAGATGCAAAGTCGGACACGGGGGTCTTAAAAGCTGAGTATCCTGCAAGCCCAAAGTACATGCCAACTCAGGAGGTGGGCAACAGCATCTCTGCAGAAGCTACTGTTCTCACTGTTTCACTAGACCAAGAAAAACAGTCAGCAAACTCAGCTGAGGTTGCATCTCATGTTGTTTCTTTCCCAAATTGTAGTCCTGAGTAACCGGACACAGCAGGACAACTTATCGAACATGGAACTCATCAACCGCGGGGCCAATTAGCGTGGCCAACCTTCAGGAAGCACCTGGAGATCTCCCGCTATTACAATTGATCTCCAGGCGACAGAATTCAGTTCCAGGTTTGGTGTAGTGGTTCAGTGCGTGGACTTGATTCCCCACTCCTCCACTTGCACCTGCTGGATTACCTTGGGCAAGCCATAGTTCTGACAAGAGCTGTCCTTGAAAAAGAGCAGTTTCTGTCAGAGCTCTCTCAGCCTCACCTACCTCACAGGGTGTCTGTTGTGGGGAGGGGAAGGGAAAGGAGTTTGAGTCTGAGACTCCTCTGGGTAGTGAAGGACGGGGTTTAAATCCAATCTCCTTCTCCTCCTTTGGCAGCTTTGGAGGGGTGGACTCTATGGCATTATACTGTGCTGGGGTCCCTCCCCTCCCCAAACCCCCGCTCCCCAGGCTCCACCCCCAAAATCTCCAGGTATTTCCCAACCCGGAGGTGGCAACCCTAGGGCCAATTATTAAGGCTCACCAGCACTAGGACCAGAGCTTTTTCTGTGGCGGCTCCCTACTGGTGGAATGAGCTCCCGGAGATCAGGGCCCTGCAGGACCTTTTGCAGTTCTGCAGGGCCTGCAAGACGGAGCTCTTCCACCAGGCTTTCCAATAGGAGCCGCCACCACTGTTACCACCAATGATCCTAGTGAAGGCTAGGACCTTAGATCTGGTCCTGGATATCGCTAGGCTTTCCGGCACGAGGGATGATGAGTCATGTAGTATGAGATCTGGAAGTGCGCCATCTAATGTGTTGTTTGTATGCATTTTAGTAGAAACTGTTAATTTATGTTTTAAAGTATTTGTCTATGATACTTATAGAGTTTTAATGTCTTTGTATGTCATTAGGTACATTGTACCGCAGTGTTAGCCGCCCTGAGCCCGTTCGCGGGATGGGCGGGATATAAATATAATAAATAAATAAATAAATAAATATTAAGGGAGAAAGGAATGTGGAGTCCCTGCTTCCCAGTGAGCCCTCAGAAAGAAGTCTGAATGCCAGGCGCTTGGTTTTTGTGAAAATAGACTTTAATGTAATAAATTAGGCTTTTTCAAAAATAAAAACAGAGTTCACCTGCACCCCCGCTCCCTCCCGCCTGTCAATGGCCCGGGGTAAAAGGAACAAGAATGGCTCCCCCTCCCTACAAACATGCAGAGGACACACCGGCGGCAAAATGGGAGACAAATCAGAAACATTTGTAGAAGCCGTTCGGCCTTGAAAACAGACTTCTCCTCAGCACAAGAAAGCCGACTCTCAAGCCAGGACACGGCTGCCCAGGATTGTGGTTCACCAAATCCCACCCACCCCTCAGCTACAAGCACTCGGCAGCTGGAAAAGTCAAGTAAGGCAGAGCTGAGGAGAGGACCACAAGGCCATCTGGGGTCGCCGTAATCATTTGGCACGTTGGTAGGTAGGGATGTGGGGCAACTGCCCCTCAAATGCCCTGTGGACTTAAGCTTGCATGGTCAAACCTCTTTTCTTGTTTTCCTTGAGATTCACTGGGTCTGTCTGCTGTGCAAGAAATTCACCATGAAATCTTGGTCAAGGGAGAATTTAGCAGCGAGCTCTAGTCTTGGGTTCTGACCAACTCAGCATGCCGCAGAGGGTATTTCTTCACTTCTCCAAACCAACCACAGGTTGTCGGGTTAGTGAGAAACAGACGACATGATACGGCTCAGATGAAAACCTGCTTTTGTCTTTTCAGTGGAACTCAGGGAGGAAAGTGAGCAAAAAAACTAAGCAATGTCGCTTGTCCTCTTGGGGATGGCATTTTTGAATGATTTATCTGAGCTTCAATCTCCAAATCAATCTTGAATTTGTTCTTTCTCCTCCCTGCCCAGCAAAATTTGATTCCAGCTTAGGTCATCTCAATGCTCCAGTGCATGGACTGCCAACTGGGTGGGTGGGTGGGGGAAGTGGAGCTGATTGTAGAGAAAGTGAGCTATGACTGACACATGTCAGAGAAGCTAAGAGTGCTGGGTCTGGCCAATGGTCTACTTTCAATGTTCCCTCTAAGCTATGGAGTCTTGTGAGCAAAAATCCTACTTTGTGAGCTACTGGCATTAAAGTTGTGAGCGAGAGATTTAGCTACTGCATAAATTAGTTTGCTCTGAAGCTATCCTTCCTGAGCTAGGTCAAAAATGTGTGAGCCAGAGGCTAACAAAATGTGAGCTAGCTCACACTAACTCAGCTTAGAGGAAACACTGCTTACCATCCTCCTTCCTGGCTCCTCGGGAAACTTAATAAGCAGCAAATGAGAATTACTATATCCATCTCAGGCCTACCATCACTGCGAAGAGAAAGTTCTGGCTCACTGGTAGAGCATCTGCTTTGCATGCAGATGATCCCAGGTTCAATCCCTGGTGTCTCCAGTTAAAAAGGACCAGGCAGTAGGTGATAGGAAAGACCACTTCCTGAGACCCTGGAGAGCCACTGCCGGTCTGAGTAAATGAATATTGACCTTGATGGACCAATACTGTAATTCTGTACAAGGCAGCTTCATCGGGTTGTCAAAAATAAGCTCAGACTGTATAGTACACAGGTCTGGGTGAAAATAAGCTGCTACAGTTGTCACCAACTGTAGGTCCCAGCTCAGTTCGAGGTCCCAGCTCAGGCAAAACATCCCAAATGTTTTCTGGTGAGCGAGACACCTTCTGTAAGACTACCCAAAAGTGGGGTTCTCCACATTCCTATCTGGGTTCCACAGAAAGAAACAGCACAGATCTGTGTTGATTCCAGGATTTGAAAGGGCCTCCACGACATGATCATTAAGAAAAACGAGTGGCCCTTGACCTTCTCGGGAACTTCATGCAAAGCAAGGATGTCAAATAGTTGGGGCATCTGCAGGTCCTTTCCCACTCTAGGAAACCCAGCAAATGCCCAATTTACCATTCATTAGAACTAGCTTTGATACAGGCTATGACCCAAGTTACATGATTGACCCTGGGCTATTCCGCACTCTTTTTCCTCCCCGGTGTGTTCCTGTTGCTTTAGGTTTTTCCCCTGTTCCACATTTGTTTTTCTCCCTGTAGCGGCCGAGTTAATATTACACCATGTTATGTCTGGCATAAAAACATGCAGTTTAACTCTGCAGGGAGAGATGCTGGACACAAAACGGTGTAATATCAAAGGGACCCCTAGAGGGAGCAAAACATGCGTGGAACAGGAAAACCCCGAGAAGCAATAGGGACACACAAGTAGGGAAAATGCAGGAAAGCCCAGTCTCTCTCTCACCCACACTGGATGTTCTGTTGGTAACCAGGGCTGGTGAGGACACCACACCAGTGCAAAATGGTAAGTGCTCAGCCTGGAAAGGCCATCAAACGGTCTCATCCGTTCCTGCTTCTTTGGAGGCATTTTGAAGGAAGTAAAAATAGGTCCGGTAATACTGAAATTTGCCAGGGGTCAGTTTCCACACATCCCTACCCCATGGTAACCTGTCCATTTAACATCCTGCCAAGGGGTGAGGAGAACCTTACCACCCACACTCCCTGCTCCTCCCAGATTTCCATTCTGGTGCAGAAGTGTGGCAAGACTGTGAGGAAGGATTGTCTCCCAAGGCACCCTGTTAGCATTATCTAATTATCCAAAATAAACACTAACAAGTCACTATGTCAGAAAAGACAACTTGGGTGAAGATGGTGGCGTGGAATCTCCTGTCGAGCGGCCCAAGTGCCCTGCGGAAGGGATTACTGGGTAAAATTGGCTTTTCCAGCTTTCAGAAGAAGTCTCCACTCCCCTCTCATGAGCAAAGGCAAAGGGACCCTTCTTTTTTTCCTTTCTAGTGTGGGGGGGATTCCCCCCAAAGAAGGCCTTCCCTGGACAAATCTGATTGCATCTTGCTAGTAGGAGGCAGTAAAGGAAATGGATCTTGAGTGCAAATGGTCAAGACTGGGGGACGTGAGCTTCTGGGACAGCCCCCCCCTCCCCCAGGAACAGAGCAAAGGCCTAAGACAGGAGCTCCAATTTCCAATCAATGGGGTTTTTTTTTTCTTGTAGGATAATGAAGATGGGGAACATCCACTGAACTGCATCACAGCCAAAACCTCACACTGGAGAACAGACAATATGAGTGGTACATTCCGGCAGGAGATTCATACCCCTTCCCAGTTGGAGCTCCAGTGCTCCAAACTCCCTTTATGGAGCTCTTAACAGTTCCCACAGTCCCCAGAAGCAAAATGTCACTGTGGTAGTTTTCTCGTAACTGGGATTCCCTTCTTCCAAGACACTTTGGGGATTCAGACAACCGCTCTGAGAGCCCAGCAGTTCTGCGTTCCTCTTGGCTGCCTGAGCACCATCGTCTGTACCTTCTTATTCGTGTCCTTAAGAAGAAGCACCTCATCGTCTTCCCCAAAGGGCTTGGGGTTGAGGGGTCCTGAGGGACACATGCCCTGACTAGGCCGAGAGGACGTGAGGCAGTGAAACCTCCCAGCTGATCTCCACAACCTAGTGAATGCCGCTGAAGAGGGGAAAGAAAGCAAAGGTGAGATCCAACTTTTTTTACAGCTGCAAAATTTTCTCTAGATGCATTACAGAATTAGCCACTGAGGTGCAACCCAGCAGGGTTCTTCTATACTCACTAGGAAAGGGAAGCATTACAGAATGATTTGCCTGTTTCCAAGCCCTTGTGGGAGCAGACCCAGCTGTTGCGGAATTAGGGCCTCGATTGAGCCTCTGTCCTCTGTTAAACTGATGATACTTTGACTTCTATAGCAATCAGCCTCTATAAATGAATCTTTGGTTCTGTTTCCCGGGAGACTGTGGCCTTCTGGTACTGATGACTTTTGCCTTACATGGCTTTTGCCTTCTGGGAATGTTTATACACTACCAAATTGTAAATAGATATGGTATCTGTAACTAGCTTCCTTGACTCTCTGAGTCACCCTAGCTTTCCCTGACTTTCCTGACCCTAGAGACAGAAAGAAGGGGCTGAGCTTTGTTGTGTATATGTCAGGTACTTAGCAACAGACTTGACTGACAGTTACATTCGCTCCCATGGATGGAAAAGGGCACTTAATGTCTGAATTCAGTCTTGTTCCTGGTTGTTCTAGCCAACCACTCTCTGTTACGGGTCTTGACAGGGCAACCAAGGATATATCCTTTATAGAACTACAAGTGCACTATTTATGTATTGGGGTTGTGTTGAAATATTCTGTGTTGAATACTGAAATGCTACAAAAATGTTTTCTGACTTTACGGTGTGTAATGGAATAGAGTTTTGGTTTAGTACAACTCTCTCTCTCTCTCGGTACAATTGGGATTCCTGCCAGCTTCTCTCCCTTCCGAAGGAACACAGTGAGGATGGGAGTCCACAAAAAGGTTCCTGCACTCCTAATTTCCCCAGCATCAGCCACTGGAGTGGGGGGGGGGGTGACCTCCCAGCCCCTGGTCGAATCCGCATTTGCATTTTTAAACCAGTTTCGTGCTGCTGTGACGCTGTCTTTCTCTATGCTTGTTTGAATGTTGTTTGGGGAAGATTCTTTTAAAGCAGTGGGGAGGCGCAATGATATTGGAGCCGCCAGAAGAAGGCGATAAGCATATGTGGACGTGCAAAAGTATGCTAGCACTGTTGAGGTGTGAAAACGAAACCAAACATAGACAGCTTTTTTGAAGACGGGAGTCAGAAGGCTGGGGCACCGGTGGGAAAGACAAATGCAGATTCAACCCCTGTTCAATTCAGAACACCGCCATTCACAGGGAGAGACTTACATCATTTCCCTCCGTCGCTCTTGGTCTCCCCTCTCTGGATGTCTGTCACGCCTGTCACTGGACTCTTCTTTTCCTCGTTCTCTGAACAGCACCGGCAGCCAAAAAGAGAATGACAGAATATTTCAATATGCTGCCCCACACAGATGTGCAAAACGGCAAAGTTGCAGGACGCCAGCCGCCTTCCTGCCGTTCCCTTGTTTTCCTTTTCATTGCCTGGTTTTTGAAAACCCATCTGGAGGAGCAGGGCCGGTTCCAGGTGTGTTTGGGGGCAGGGCTGGGCAGAGTACCCACTACCGGCCGCCCCCTTCTTGCCTACCCACTCCTGCCCCCCAGGTGCCTGTGTGTCCTTCCCCCACCACTCTGAAAGTTCTGCCACTGCCTGTGGCCCCAGTGGCCCGTACTCCTGGCATGCTGTTTCCCTGATGTCGCTGGGCAGTGGGTGCAGCTGGGACTGCCCCGGCCACGAGGAGCACCTGTGCTGGTTGCACCACCCACATGCCCTTCCCTAGCATTGTTACAGGTCATCTCGCCCCTCAAGTTGGGTAGCTGGCACCCAGAGGGAAGAGGCCAGATGCCCTTCATATAAACATCACTCCAGATAGCTACGTAAAGGCCAATCACCCTGCCTGGCCTCCAAATGGCCCCACAAGGGATGCCAAGCAGAATGCCAGCCTGGGAAACTCTCTGGAAGTGACACGCCTGGCTGGCTTGTAAACAACTTCCTCCACTTTGGAGATAAGACGCATAATTTACCACTTTAGATTTCTCAGGAAAACAGAAGCCTTATTTTGAATAAAGTCCTTTCATCCCCACCATGCTTTCTTTCCTTGACACATTTACCACCGTTATCATATCTTAAAAACAACTGGAAGTGTTTGTTGTCTGTACTTCAAGGTGCCGTCACCACCACTGCATCCTAAGGGGGGGGGGGGCTATCAAGGTCCACTCAATACTTTGATCTCCCTCCAGGAGAGCAATTAACCATTTGTCCCAAGTCTCTGGGACTCTTCCTATAAACACATCAGCACTATAATTCCTTTGATGCAACCACATCATCGTATCATTTCTGGGTATAAATGTCCCCGTGCTACTCCCATTGCGGGGCGTGAGTGTGTTCTCAGCGCCAACCATGCACCAAGGGCTGGTTGCTTTTTCTCCTCTGCGGACATGAATCTTCAAGACTGGTGAATATGACCTACCCTAAACCACTGTTTCCCTGCTACTTCCTTTTATTTCTTGGTCATCTCTTGCATGTGTGCTTTAGCAACGTGTCCGCGTGTATGCTTCTGCTCTTTTAGTGTTTTTCAATAAAAGCTCTATTAGTTGAACATCAGCCCGGTTTAAGAGATCTCTGAGGGAGGGATTCGGGTATACAAAGGTGATGATCCCAAGTTACCCTCTCTTGCTAAGCTGACTTCCCCAACCAACCAACCAATTAATTATCAGACCATTCTGGGTAACGGCATCATGGGTGGCAAAGCACCCACAAGCAGGCAGGAGGAAGGCATACACTTGAGTGCCAGGAGATGTGTGGGTCTCAGCATCGGCAGGCCCCACTAGAAGCCCTGGGCAGCCGCCTGCCTCATGCTTTGCTGACGCCAGCCCTGTTAAGAAGCTCGATGGGTTTTTACCCTCTAACTGGCCCATTCTCAACTTTGCTTTCGTTCAAAAAGAAATCCAGATTTCTAGCCTAAAGATTAGGAGGCAAAACCAGATGGTGGGCGACCCAGTGAAACGCTGGATGGCTTAACAAAGGGACTTTAAAAAGGCTGCGGTCACATGCATCAGCTGAAGCGCAGGGGAAGAGAGGCTATTTCCTCTGGAGGAATCTGACACACGGTTGTGAGATCACACAGCCCTCTGAAGCTGCGGGCACAGCCCATCACTGTGTGATCAGACACAACTGTGGGGGAGTCGTGGGTTTTTTTTTCCTTCTGTTTGTTTCCCATGCGCATAACCGAGCAATTGAGGAGTCGCACCTCCGCACTGAGGGCCCCCTACGGAGTATGCGATGATGTGCATACTGCGAAGGGGGGGGGAAACACGGCATAGAATCGGGATGGCACGAACAGACCATCCTGACAGCATGAGAGTGTGCTTGATCAATCAGACAGGAAAGTCCGTCTGTGGCCCGTCGGCAAGCATTAGGACCGGACTTTCCCCGGTGTGATTTAACTCCACTTCCATGGCGGAGCAGCTGTCGTGATTCACTTATAATGGTAAGGCTGGCATAGAAGGGTTTGATCTAGTGTCAAAGTAAAGTGACAGCTAGAGATAGCATGTGACTGCAAGGAGGCTGGCCACGATAGGTTTGAGGCAGTCCAGCCTGGCACTAAAGGTATTGCAGGAGGATTGCATCAGCTGTGTGCTGATTGGCCAGAGGTTGTATAAATGTACAGAGTGTACAGTGGACTTTTTCCTTCACATGAATCGATTGCAGCGGAGCACTTTGACACTCAGAACTGTATATAGGTGGTGGATGGGTGGGAATAAATTCACTGTCTTTGCACCTACGTTCTGGACTCCAGTCTTCTGTGGGTACTCTAACTCCCTTTGGGCACTGACGTGCCAGCCAGCATTCTGCGCACCGCGACAGCAGCAAGGGTTGCTGATGACTGCAGGATGCTTCCCAGATGTTGCTGTCTGATCACTCCCTCTAGATCCATCAGGCATTCACGCCTATGTCGGATCTGAAGGAGCGTGTGATCGCAGCCAAAAAGTCACAAATCATGGGGCTTCGGTGTCCATAACTCTTTGCAAGTCATGCTTTATGGAAGCTCCCTCTCCTAAGAGGCACCTTTTCGTTTCACCTGTTTTAATTTCTGCCAATTCGTTCTTTCATGGCATTTTCATTCCGTTTCTATGCAAGACAGGTGCGCAAGTTTAATGGGAAAGGTTTTGTACACAGAAACAGAGTGAAAAGGAAGACTCGCAGGTTCACTTTCCGCAAAGGAAAAACTGAAAATGAGAGGGGCCAATAAGTTGTTTGCCAGGAAATCCTGGGTTGCCTCCGCCACTAAGTCATTCTCAGGCAAGCCACTGTCTTGCCAGTTTGATGCATACCCCCTCTGCAGAAAAGTATATCTAGCGCAATAACGGCCCGCACTACAAAGCTGTTGTAAGGATAATGAGATAAAGGCCATTCCAACTCTCTGGAACTCCCTACCCCATGTATTGCATCTGGCCCTCATGTGACCATCTTTTGGGAGACAGTTAAATACCAAATTTTTTTGCTTCAAAGGACTTTGATATTTCTGTATGAGAACAAAGAATCAAAGACACTGATGGAATTGTGGCCTCCCAGAGACCACGGGGGACATGCTCCACCTCACCAATAAGAACCTCACTGCCTGCTGGCATCTCACAAAGGATCAGACCTCAGGATCACAGCCTGAGAATTCTGCCTTCTACCCTTCTGTCTTTTTAAGTTCTGGATCATCCAGCCTGCAGAAGAGTTCTGGCGAGCTTGAAAGCTTGCAAAGTGTTTTGGGCTGACTTGGTTGGTCCTAATAAAAGTTATTACACAGATTTTGTTCTTGCTTTAGGAATTTGCATGGACCGAACTGGCTGCACAACCTTTTCTACTTCAAAGGGCCTTTTAAAATTAATCCCTAATGTGGTTTTAAACTGGGTGTTAATTGCTATTCCTTTTTAATCTCTTGCCTTTAATTTTAAAATTGTAATTATACTGTATGAAGGATAAGAGGCCTCGGGTGGTTCTCAGAAAGACAGTGTATAAATAAACCGCAATAAACAAGCAGGCTCCTTTGGAAACTCAAAAGCATTAAATGAATGTGATGTGTAGAAGATGCCGCTGCGTCTCCCTGGAGAAGTTAATCCCTACCGCCTGTGGCCAATCCGACTGCCTGTATTTTGTCCTTCTCTCCAAAAAGTTATTCATCTCTAGGAAGGCTTAATGGTTACATAACCAGCATGCAAAACCACAGTATTCAAAAGAGCTTTTCTGCACAGGTAACAGCGTCGTGCTGTACAAAATGGTTCACAAATTTACTTGGATTAGGAACTGTGGTCTATACTGCTGTCTATAGCTTATTGTAAGCAGGGTCTTATTACGTAAGTATAGCTTATTGGAAGTAGGATCCTATTTATGGAATTTTTGCACCGCTTAACACATCATGTGAATGTTTATGCTATGCCTCTGTTCTTTCTGGTGGTTCCAGACTTCTAAAATCCTAATGCACTGGCTATAGAATGTCTCATTGTGTTGATTGTACTGACTCACTGTGCGTAATCCGCCTTTAGTGCCCTGTGAAAAAAGGCAGACTATAAATAACGTACATCAATAAATACAAAACTGACTCCCAAATTTTGGACGGCTGAGGGAGAGAGGGTTGTTTGGCGCCCACCTCCCAGTGGTTGCCGATCCTCCCACCCACAGCCCAAGCTCACATGCAGGGGGGCAACTTACCTGCCTTCCAAGCCTTGGCTCGCCAGGCAGCAGACCGTCGGACGGCACGGCTTCCAGGAAGTTGGACGGCACGAGCCCCTTCCGCCCCTTGACCTCCCCCTGAGGACAAAGAAGAAATGAGGGTGGGGACGGTCAGCTGGTCTGACTCAAAATATCCCCATTTTGGTTTTGCTTCTCCCTCGTCTTTCTTTCTCGATTCTGGATACAAAAATAAAGACAGAGCAGAGTTTTGAGTCCGGTGGGTGGCACCTTCAAGACCCACAAAGTTTGATTCTGGGTATAAGCTTTTGTCTGCAGGCACACTTCCCTCAGGTTTCAACTTTGTTGATCTCAAAGGTGCCGCTGGACTCAAAACTTCGTTCTGTTGCTTCAGACCAACACAGCTACCCACCGGAAAATAAAGACAGTGTAACTGTGCTGGCCGGCAGTGGAAGAGTTCCAGAGTTCAAGCTTTTGCGAGTCAACGCTCCCTTCGTCAGATACTTCCTCAAAAGATTATACCCTTCGAAATCCTGTTGGGCTCTAAGGTGCTCCTGGACTCGAATTGGGCTTTCCTACTGCAGGCCGGCACAGCTGCCCACCTCAAACTGTCTTTATTTTGGTCTCCCTTGAGTTTTACCGATTAAAATGCTGGCATTTTCCAATTTTGGGGGAGGTGGGTGGCGTCGGCGGCGTGTCAACGACACAAACATAACAAACATAAGAAAGCTGAAAAATCAAGAAGCAGAAGATTATTTTGCAGATTGGAAAGACTTTAAAGACTACTTGGAGAAATACTGGGATGTAAAAAACAATTTATTTTGCTTTGACAATTACTAAGGTTGGATAGACATTTAGATTAAATTTAAACATGCATAGACAGACAGATAAAAAGATACGTTGCCTGAAAGAATTATGTTGTTAAAGAATTGGAAAAAGAGAAAAAATTCAAGAATGTAATAGAGGTTTGAGCACTGTGGGAAGTCAGAAGGGGGGGAGATATTTGGATAAAAGGATATGAAAAGTTTGTTATATGACGTAAAATTTTACTTATTATTATATCCTAATAAAATTGTTTTTTTAAAAAAACCAAACATAACAAACAGCATCAAAGACATAAAACGATCAGCAAGGGAAACCACAGAAATGAAGAGGATCGAAATGGGCCACAGTGACAATTTAGGAAGAAAAATGAGCGGGAGGGGGGAAAGTGTCATTTTGGCTCTCCCTGAGAAGAAATACCCTTGACACTCAGCAGGGAGGGAGGGAGTCCGGCTGAGTCCTAAAAGTCAGCCAAGGGCACTGCAATTAAAACTGCCTTCTTTTCCCCTAGCAGAGCTGTTGTGCTGTAAACGGCCGTGTGGGCAGAACTTCAACATCTGCAGCCCTTTCCAGGCAAGGTGCTGAAAATGTCAGTTTCCAAGACAGGCGGAAATCAAAAAGAACTGTGACAAAGTGGCGCTAACGATATCTTATATTAAAGAGTCAGATTGATACAACATATAAGTGAATGAAGGCATTTAGCATCAATAGCCCATGGAAGGACCCACTAGAAATTACAGTATCATGAATTAGTGGAATCAACAGTGGTACTTTTGATACGTCACCAGAAGAAATGAATTGTTGAGAGACAGTTTATGTATGCATCTTTGTTCAGAAGAAGATCATTCATCGAAATGGCAGGACATTCCGGAGACCACCGTCTACATGCACTTATATATTGTATACATTTGACTCTTTAATATAGAGGCCCCTGCCACACGGCAGAAAAAAACACGGCCAAAGTGCGGCTTTTTAGAGCTGCACCAAAAGAGACACGCGGCGGCGGGATCCCACAGATCCCCTGAGCCGCCGCACAGTTGCTCCCCGGCATGATCAGATGCTGGGGAGGAAGCCACCACCGGGAGACCGAGGCAGCCGGCTGCGCATGCATGCGCATGCGCAGTTCGGTCACCAGCCTCGAATGCTCCCAACGACGGACACGCCGGCGATCCCACGGCCGCACTTGCTGCGGCGTTTCAGGTAAGTCCTTCTCTTTACTTGGGGTTTTTTTTGCTCCGCAGCACTGGGCTGTAGGGACGGATCGGGGACGGGTGCGCGCCGATTCCCAGATGTTGCGGTGAGATTGCGCCCGTTTGCTGCGCCCCCGATCCATCCCTCTTCCGGCCCAAAACCTTCCATGTGACCGGGGCCAATATATTGTTAGCGCCACTTTGTCACCGTTCTTTTTGATTTCCGCTTGTCCATTGACTGTGTCCATCCTCTTGACAGTTTCCAAGACAGTACAGGGAATGCTCGAGGCAAGTGATAAGGACCAGCCGTGGCATTCATGCTCTGCCAGGATGCTTGCCAGGAGCCCCCCCCCCTGAAAAGACAATAACTAAGCTGGGAGGGCCTTGTTGAACCTGCTAGAGGCAGAGGTTTGCACTGCGCCTTCTCTAGGAACCCTGCGAACAGTGATTGAGCTGAGTTACTGCAAGAAGCCAGCCCTGAAGTCCTCTGAGCTTTCCAGCACCTCGGGGTGAGAAAAGGTTTTTTCCTTCTTGCAAGTGAGGTCTTGCAAAAGGAGGTGTTTTGACGGAACTGATTCAGTTTTGTAAGCCTCATTTTAATTAGGTTTCAGACAGGTTCGGCTCCACTGCAAAGTGGTGTGCTTTGATCAGGCTTCTGCAGTTATTGCAAAGCTCAGCTGACTTTACGATAACTTTGTATAAGGAAGTCTCTAAACTTTCAAACAGGGAGGGAGAGGAGAAATCAGACTTAATATTGGGGGTGTCTTTTTCAAAAGTGGAACGTTTGGCAGCCCAGCTTTAGACAGCTCCCCATATAATTGCGATCCTTTGATTTATCACTGTCTGAATGGTTTGGACCCAGAGGTATAGCGAGAGATTTCACACCTAGCTCCAATGAGAGAATCTGGACTAAACTATTTTTAAAGGGCTTTGCCTATGCAGAGTTCTCCAGTATTTATCTATTAGAGGCCGTTCATCAGCCCTTTAAATCTGATAATACAAATAAGTATGGTGTGAGTTTGGTTCCCTGAATCATAACCAGCAAACCAGACTGAACACCTGTAGAGACTTTTATCTTCTACTGAAAAAACAAATAGTTCTCTTTATTATGCAAGGCGGTAAGAAATACAGGCATCTGAATATCAACCCTACAATTACTGTAAAAACAAGTGCTAAAATGATCAAAGCTCCGAACATTACTTAATCATACTATAGTGAGTAATATTTTAATAAGCCAACCAGGTTTCAGGTTTTTGTCTCTCTGCTTTTAGGGATTAACAAAAAGCCCCAGTCACACATTCAGAAATCTCATCTAATCTTCTTCCGAGACTTCTGTCCAGAGAAATCTGAATTGCTTATCACGGCAGTGCATATTTATAGAAAAATATCAATCTTATCTTTTTCTAGATCTGTTCCATAATAATCATGTGGTTACTATCTGGATAAGGGACTTGTTCTTAACTAAATATGAGATAATCAACACAAGTGCAAATGAGCCAATCAGCAAGTACATATGAATTACATCTGATATAGCAAGATAAGAAGGCTAGTCTCAATTCCTAACCTCTATTTTTTTAAAAAAAAAAATATTTTTTTCAATTTTTAACAATTCTAACACTTCAAACAGTGAACAATTAATCTTCCAATTACATTCACATCCTGTAAATAGTTCCTGAGCATGTACAACGTTATAACATGTTCAAAGAATTACACAATCAGTCTAACTTCTCTGTAACTGTTTCAATTCACTGTCAAAAATTAAAGTTAACTTTAAGGAGACAGAATTCACTGACAGTTGAAGAGTGCTTGAACTCTTGGTTAACTTGCAAACACAACAAAAAAAGTTAGTGATGCAATAGTTACCACTGCAGAGTCACGAAGTTCAGTACTTACAAAATAGAACCTGTTGTCACCCATGGAACCAACTACGATCACAATGTCCCCAGTGCAAAATTTTAGCTCAGCCTAGAAAGAAATACGGCTACCAACAGGGCAGTTCAGCAGACAGCCACTCTGGACCACGACAAAGGTTCTTCATATTCAATTTCCAGGTCAAAACCAGCTAATTTTATGGGACGCAAGCTTCTCCCAAAAAACACATCGACAAACATTACCTAATTCTGAATCTGTTTAGCACTATTGTTTCCCATGGATACTGCTTCCAGAGAGCCATTTTGTCCCTGGCTCCTGAAACCTCCTCCTATGCCTTAGTCACCTGAGTGAAGGCACCCCATCCAAGACTTAACGGAATGGTGTTGTGATGCAACGCACCCAATCAGAATTGACCATGTGATGACATCACTGACAAGTGTCATCAATATAAACAAATAAGCAGACATTTTGCTCAAGGGAATGGATGCTCAAACACTATCAAAAGGTAAGGTGTTTTCAGGACTGCCACAGGTATTCGCAAGAAAAAAACAAACAAGAGAGGAGTTTCAGCTCAGCCTTAGTTAAATGCAGGGACAGAGCAGAAGGGAGATAGTCTCTGAGGCATGCTGTTAAGCAGGGCTCTTTTTGTAGAAAAAGTCTAGCAGGAGCTCATTAGCATAATAGACCACACCCAACAGCAGAAACTCATAAGCATATTAGGCCACACCCCTGACAACACAGCTCATTAGCATATTAGGCTGCGCCCCCTTGTTACCAGAAGTGTAGTCATCCAACCACACCCACCTTTTGCTTCTTATTCTGTTTACCCTGTTTGTTGTCAAAACCCAGGGTTTTTCTTGTAGCGGGAACTCCTTTGCATGTTAGGCCACACACCCCTAACGTAGCCAATCCTAATGAGTTTCTGCTGTTGGGTGTGGCCTATTATGCTAATGAGTTCCTGCTGGGTGTGGCCAACTCGGGAGCCAGCCGGAACTCCGTTCCTGTGCGTTCCTGCCCAAAAATAGCCCTGCTGTTAAGGGCCCAAAAATGGTAATGAATGACTATGCCTGTAAATACACATGTGCTCCCATATCTTTCTAATCCTACAAATATTATACGCACAGTGGACTTCACTCACCCTCATGTCCACATTGGGAGAACTCTCCTTGGGACTGTAGTCAAAGATGGCCACCATTGTCCTTGGAGTGTCATCCTCAGAGCTGAGATCTTGGCCTTCAAATATTCCTGTCAGGAAAAGAAAAGTACAGCTATATCAAGAAAGAGTGCTTCCATTCACAGCATGCGAGTCAAAGTCAAAGGTCGCAATAGAGAAAAATTCAATGAGAGCTACAGCTAAGTCACACATGATTCAAAACTAATGTGAACGTACTGGTGGGAAACCAAGCCAGCCTCTAGGCCTACAAAGATTTACTGGTTAAACTGGAGGGCTGTCCTTGTACAAGACTGGGCCTGCCAAGTCTTCCACTTCAGAGCAGGTGAGTTGGAGGATCAATGAGCTGGGGGATCACTACTTCCCCCTCATTCTGACAAGCATAGAGTAGAACACGGTTCTTAACCCATGGGAGAATTTTGGAAATATCCTCAACACACTGCTACCTAAAGGGATGGGTGGGGCTTTTGTCCAGCAGAGTTTCTGACTGGATCTTCACTGTGTGACTGAAGGTAAGCTGCGGCACCATTTTGTGACTTGTTCCACCTCCCGTGGTAGCCATTTTGTGGCTGTGCCCACCACTCTGTGTCAGAATACCAAAGGTGCACACAGCCTCAAAAAGGTTGGGGGGGCCCTGGAGTAAGATATGCCTCTTGCACAGACGTTCAGTTCTTTGAGGCACATCCCAGCCTCTCTCAACGCATGCTAACATGCTCCAGCAAAGAGCCTGGGAATATGAAAAGGTAAAAAGGGAAGCAATCCTCACCCAAACGAGGCGTCTCTCCTTCCTGCTTGTCTCGTTCCACTGTGCAAGAAAAGATTTCAATTTTTTTTTAAATGGCTTATTCAGATCATTATACCCTGCTTTTCTCCCCAGTGGGGACCAAAAGTAGCTTCCAATATCAAATAATCATCACCATCGTATGGCATTGTGTGTAGTATAGCCAGGAGATCCGAAGATTGTCTGGCAGCCTGAAGTTCTAGCTCATTAGCATCATGCACCACTAGGTCACCCAGCTGGCTTCATGTGGAGGAGTGCAGAATCAAACCCAGTTCTCCAAATCAGGGTCTGTCGCTCTTAACCACTACATCACGCTGGCTCTGACACTTCCAATATCGTCCTCCCTTTACAACACACCTGCTATCAGGCTGGCTAGGCTGAGAGGGAGGGACAGGCCCGTGGACACCCAGCGTGCCCCCGTGGTAGAGTGGGGATCTGAACCTGGATATCTAGATCCTAGCCTGACACTCTAACCATGCGGGCTACTATTTTTAACCCTGCTTTTCCGCCCATGTACGGGATCCTTTCTTTCTCTGCAGATGAAAAGCAGTGATAAAACAATAAAACAGCAAAAATCTGCATACAATTGGAACATTGCTAATAAAACAAGAGGAAACCAGAAAGATTAAAGCAGCCAGGTCTGGCGTGACTAAAACAGTGAGCTGCGATGCAGGAGATCCCTGTTTTGTCTACTATTTGATCCTGTTAGTCAGGGGTCATTTCGTAGAAAAAGAGGTGCAGGAGCTCATTAGCATAACTTATTAGCATAACTTATTTGCATATCCCACACCCCCTGACATCACCGAAAGTATCAGAAGGCAACACCCACCGCTCAGGCTCCACTGGACTGCAGATCTGCCCTCACAGAGGAGGGAGAGCTTGTACCTAAAAGCGGGCCGGGGGGGGGGGGCTCTGCAACTTACCTGGCTGCTTCTTGCTCCTCGTGGCCCGACTGAGGGCTGCTGGGAGCAGGGGGCGGGGCTTGTTGCATGTGCCCACCCCCTGGGCTCCTTACTGCCGGAGCTCCGCTCCTGTGCGCTCCCGCAGGAAATGACCCCTGCTGTTAGTTAAAGATGCTGGGGGTGGAATCTGGGACATTCTATATGCCCAGGAGATGCTCTATCTACCACTGAGCCATGACCCCTCCTCTCCCTGGTTCTCCCTTCCCCATTTTATTCTCAAAACAACCCTAAGGGTGAAGGAGGCTGAGAGAATGTCCCTGACCCAAGGTCACCCGCAAAGTTCATGGCAGAGTGGAAACGTGAATCGGGCCTCTGACCACTCACACTGGCCCTCAGATTTACATGTGATGTGCCTGAACTGTACATTCTTAAAGCAGGGGGAGATCTGTGATTTCCATCTCACACAGTCCGACCCTAAACGACTGACAGGAATTGACAACCCGTTGCCATCACAGACCTTTCTTAGACCGCTGGGGCTTCGGAGGACGGACTGCCCTTCTCCGGGGAGGAGGAGAGTTTGCATTTTCCCCTGCAGCAGAGAATCAAAAGAAAAAAAGCACATCAACGTTGCAGTAGAAGTTAAAAAATATAGTTAATTCCAACTTACTATCAAATAATTTATTTTAAAAATATGGTATTCAGGGCTGCCTTGGTTACACCTAGAAAGAAAGGCAAGATAGAAATAGAAGGTTTGAAACAAAAGAATTCCTGGAGGCCGTTTTTTTCACGGACGAAAGGCACATAACGTTACCCAAATTGTAATTCTCTGTCTCTTCCCCCAAAAATCCTAGGATTAAGAAGGAGGATTGGATTTATACCCCCACCCTTCACTACCTGAAGGAGTCTCAGAGCAGTTTAGAATCTCTATTCCTTTCCCCTCCCCACAACAGACACCCTGTGAGGCAGGTGGGGCTGAGAGACCTCTTTCGAGAACTGCTCGTGAGAGAACAGCTCTGAAATAACTTGTAACTGACCCAAGGTCACACCAGCAGCTGCATGTGGGACCCGGTTCTCCCAGGTTAGAGTTCGTGCTCCTAACCACTACACCAAACTGGCTCTTTAGCCTGTCCCTAGCATCTCCACCCTACCCCATGAAACTGCAGATTCCAGGACTTTGTGGGGAGAAGGAATTAATATGAAGCAGTTATGTTGGTGAGGCAGATCTCTCAACGATAAGACACATCACCTCAGCGGGTGCAAATTCCCACTGTCCTTTACCAAAGAGCACTGGGGCAGGGAAGAACTTGTGAAGGAGAACTGGCAGAAGAAAGGCAATGCTGAACCTTTCCTGTAGTACCCTCCGTTCCTTCCCAGCAAATTCTTTAACTGGAAATGCTAGAGATGGAAGCTGGGATCTTACACATGAAGAGCATGGAATCAACTATTATGGCACAGAGACAGTTTGGTGTAGTGGTTAAGAGTGCAGACTCTAATCTGGGAGAACCGGGTTTGACTCCCCACTCCTCCCACATGCAGCTCTGGTGTGACTTTGGGTCAGTCACAAGTTATTTCAGAGCTGCTCTCTCAAGAGCAGTTCTCAAAAGAGTTCTCTCAGCCCCAACTACCTCACAGGGTGTCTGTTGTGGGGAGGGGGAGGGAAAGGAGATTGTAAGCTGCTCTGAGACTCCGCATGAAGGGTGGGGTATAAATCCAATCTCCTCCTCCTCCTCTTCTTCAAACAGACAAATCAGACTCTTGGCCCATCTAGCATTACCTCCTTTGTCAGGCAAAAAAGAAGTGTCTCCCAACATATATTGCCAGGAATTGAAGATGGTGGCTAACCCGATCTTCGAAGCTAAGCAGGGTCGGCCCTGGTTAGTAATCGGATGGGAGACCACTGAGGAAGCCCCGGGTTGCTATGCAGAGGCAGGCTATGGCAAACCACCCCTGTTTCTCTCTTGCCTTGAGAACCCTCTGGGGCTGCCATAAGTCATCAGCAGACGGAGAGCACTTTCCACCACCCAGGGAGCCACATCTTCTTTGAGGGGCATAAGCTGCTGGGGGAGTGAGGGTACCACAGCGGGACTCAAATCACCCAAAGAGTGATTAACACATGAAATTCACTGCCACAGGAAGTGGCGGCGGCTACAAGCATGGACGGCTTCAAAAGGGAATTAGATAAGCATATGGAGCAGAGGTCCATCAGTGGCTATGAGCCACAAGGTATAGATAGGGACTCTGGGGCAAGTGATGCTCTGTCATCTTGGTGCTTGGGCGGGTCAACAGTGGGAGGGCTTCTAATGTCCTGGCCCCACTGGTGGACCTCCTGATGGCACCTGGTATTTCTGGCCACTGTGTGACACAGAGTGTTGGACTGGATGGGCCTTTGGCCTGATCCAACATCGGCATCTCTCATGTCCTCATGCTCTTATGTCGCCTTCATGCACCAATGAGGGACACACTTAAGATGAAATGCATCCCTTCAGGCACAACACACAAGCTTACGCTGGGCTCAGCTGCCACACGGTCTAATTTTGCATCCCCCGCCTTCCTCTCAACAAACCCTATGTGAGCAGGAGGTCTGAGGAAAATCCAGTGGAACAGATTTCTCATAACATGGATGGGAAAGACCACTCTACTGGGGATCTCCAAGAGCAACTGCTGGTCAGAGTAGGCAGTCCTGAACTTTGAATTAAGTTGGTATAAACCAGCTTTGTATGCCAAGTTGTCTTAAGTTATCGGTCGCAAGCATGGACGGCTTCAAAAGGGAATTAGATAAGCATATGAAGCAGAGGTCCATCAGTGGCTATGAGCCACAAGGTATAGATAGGGGCTCTGGGGCAAGTGATGCTCTGTCATCTTGGTGCTTGGGGGGGTCAACAGTGGGAGGGCTTCTAATGTCCTGGCCCCACTGGTGGACCTCCTGATGGCACCTGGTATTTCTGGCCACTGTGTGACACAGAGTGTTGGACTGGATGGGCCTTTGGCCTGATCCAACATTGGCATCTCTTATGTTCTTATGACTCATTTTTTAATGTGAACCCTCTCCTGAGCGGATAAAGGAAGCCAGAGAGAGCACCTAGGTTTCCCATCAGCATGCGGGCAGGAATGTGACCATCCTGTAAGAGCTGCTTCCGGGAAGCGTCGCTGTCCACCTGGACCTCGGAGACCATGTTGCACGGGATGTACCCCACTCTCCCGGCACATTCTCCCCTGTAGAAGCCATCCGCATCCTTGTGGCCGTAGACCTGCAGGAGGAGACATGCGGTGGAGACAAAAAAGACGAGAATGTTGTTTAAGAGTGTTGAAAGTGGTGCAAGAGCGGCTCGGCTTTGCTGGCTGGGGGGCACCCGCATGCTTCTCGTGGCCTCACATCATCTCTGGCTGAACACGCTGGGCAGGATGTGTTTAAAAATAAAACTGTTTTGCAGATGCAAAGCTGGGATGGGCAGAGGCAACCACAAGCGGCAATCTTTCTCAAGGCACCTTCAGCCTCAGGAAAGAGACCATGGGGTTAGAGAGGACAGCTCAAGGGAAATGTCAGCCCAGAGAGAGAGAGAGAGACAGAGAGAGAGAGACAGAGAGAGAGAGAAGACAAATTCTGTGCTAGGAATTAGCAGGAAAGGGAATCAAAAATAAAATAAGTATCACAATGCCCTTGCCATGGGGCAAAGATGTGGCCACATTTGGAACACTGTGCACCGTTCTGGAGCTTTTCCACCCTGAGTCCTTTCCACAGCTCAGCTTCATATGAGCATTGTTTCCCCTTCCCCCCCCCCACAAACTCTTACAACACACTGCAACATGGTCATTGCCCTCCCAGTTTTTCTTTGAGTTTATCCTGTGTTTTTTGAAACAAACCAACCAACCCAAGACAGCAATGACCAGCAAACAATATTGTGTGTAAAGGAGGGAGGAAAACAATGCACTTAAGAAGCTGGGCTGCAATTAGACCTTGGAGTGGAAAAAGCCACAGGCCACCCCACCTTTAAAAAAAAAAAAGTTTTCCGTAGAAATGGAGGAGGTGAAGAAAAGGGCAACCAAAGCAAGGAAAGGCTAAAGGGTTTGTGGCTTTCTGCAGTTCAGAAAAATAACTGTGAGAGGGCATGATCGAGATTTACACAATTAACCATCGGGTGCCTAATTTCTCTCTTTCTCACAATATTAGAACTTGTGGAACTGATGGAGTCTGAATTCAGGACAGACAAAAGGAGGGTTTTTTTGACCAGTGTCAAGAAGTTTCAAGAAATGCTCATAAACACTGATGAGATACTACCAAAAAAAGCTATTTCAACGAATGAGCTTCTTTTTGTGCAGTTTTTGATTGAAGTGCAAATGCGCTCCTGCCTAAAGGTAAAACACTCCACCAAGGGTATAGATGATACAAGCTTTATTTGCAGGGCTTTATTGATGCACACCAATAACTTTGACTGGGGGCAGGGACAGAGGTGCAAATAAAGCAAAAGAATGGAATACATGGCCTAGGGGTGCCAACTCCAGCATGGGAAATTCTAGGAGATGTGGGAGGCGGTGCCTGCAGAGGGGGTGACCTGAGGAGGGATTTCACCTAGAATCGACGGTATACCACAGAGACTGCCCTCTGAAGCAACTATTTTCTCCCAGGGGGGGGCTGGTCCCTGTAGGCTGGAGACTAGTTGTAATTCTGCGAGAACTCCAGGCCCCACCTGGAGGTTGGCTACCTAATTATGGCCCTCTATACAAAATTTGGAAGTGAAAGATTCCCAGCCACAGTTCTCCCTCTGAAACAAGAGCCAACAATTCAGAACCCCAAAAATCTAGGGAGAGTTTTGGAAATATCCTTAACATACTGCTGCCTGAAAGGATAAAATGAGACAGAAACAGAAAAGATAAAGGGACTAGAGGCTTTCTTCTAGTTCTGTTCTTGCCTTTAGGATCTGGCCCTCCTGGAATGGGAGTTCCTCTTCAGCAGCATCCGGATTCGGAGACATTGAAACCGGGTCGTAGTCAAAGAGGGCCACAAACAGCCGCACGGAGTCCCCGTCATCCATTGGTTCAGACGGGGGACTCCTCCAAGATCCTGCTGACAAGCCAAAAAGAAACGTGATTCGCCCAAACGTCCACAGCGAGCCCCCACAGCTACTGCAAAGTTTGTTTGAGTCTCTGCAAACGCGCAAGTATAGAATTTTCTTTCTTTCTTGAATTCCATTATTTTTTCCCTATGAGCTCAGTTTTGTCACTATAGAATGAGAAGGATTTGACGAATGGGACTGAGCTTCTCTTCTTAAGTGCCCCCCATACAGAATATGTTATAACAGGCTTCTAGCCCTTAAGCCAAAAATATACGGACAGGTGCAGCTGAATAAAAAATTCAGTGGCTGGATTTGGTGTTTCAGTGATCTTGTCCTTTCCTATGATTAGTAAAAGAAGAATGCAGGACTTTTATCTACGATGAGGCAAATTTGCATAATTTACCGGGGTGCATTGGGGGAGTGCCCAATTCTAACACTTTTAGCATGGAATACACACCACCCGGCTTGGGAATCAGATCTGCAAAACCTATAGAGGGCCCAACTCCACATCACATCTTCTCTCGGTTGGCCCCAGTTAGGGTTGCCAGCTCAGAGTTGGGAAATTCCTGGAGATTTTGGGGATGGAGACTGGGGAGGGTGGGGTTTGGGGAGGGGAGAGACTTCAAGGGGGTACAACGCTAGACAGTCCACATTCTAAAATGGCCATTTTCTCCAGGCGAACTGATCTCTGTCACCTGGAGATCAGTTGTAATCCCAGGAGATCTCCAGCCACCACCCAGAGATTGGCACCCCTAGCCCCAGTCCATGCAATTAGACATTCTATCTGTGGCAAAAACCCACATGGCCCTTTCCACAACAGCTCCCCTTTTCTAGACGCTTGAGTCAACTCACCGGAACTAGCTGTCAGAGGGGCCACTTCATGTCTTTTCCTCTGGGGCCTTCTGCCTCTTCTGGTAGAGTCCTGACGGGATACTGAGTTTCGTGACTCATGATCCCCATTACCTGCCACCTGAAACAGACACCTTGGCAGAATTACTCCCAAGGAAACCCCCTCAGCACTTTATCCTCTGAAATTCTCACTACCTCTCACAGCAATAACACAAAACGCAAAGCAATACAAAGCAGTATTCCTCTTCTGGAACCTTCCGGAAGATGATTTCTAGAGATGGTGGGCAACGGGAGGTCCCCCCCCCCCACTGGACCAAGAGCAGGGCTGAGGGAATTATGTTGGCACAGTTTGATTGATAACTGACTGAGGGTGGATTTAGGAAACCGCATCAGTGTGATTCAAGTCTGTGACGGGACAGGTCTCAGACTTTGAAGCTCTCGTCTTCTGAGTCAGGCCTTTGGCCTACCAAGCCCACTATGGTAATTCAGACTGGCAGTAAGGAGGTTCTCCAAGAGACCTCAGCAGAGTCTTTCTCAGTGCTTCTATTGAGATGCCAGGGATCTAACCTGGGACCTTTGGTACAAAGCAGGTGCCCTACCACTGAAGCGTGGTTCATCCTCTAAGAGAGCTCATAGATTTCATCAAAACTTCCCTCTAGGTTCCCTACAGGATATTTGTCCTTCCAGGGACACCCCATATTTCACTTCAGGTGAAAACTGGTAGTAACAGATGTGCAGCCTCCCTGAATTTCATCTAAATCCTCCCTTCAGAACCCCTGCGGCTTCGTCACCTAAGCAGGGCTATCCATATTTGCCTTCACGTTCACTCAGTGGCAGATCTTCTCAGTTTATGGAGGCTGGACTCAAGCGGAAGGGGACAAGGAAGAGGAGGGCCCCCTCACCAGAGGTCTTCTGAAAGGCCTGAAAAGCAGAAGTATTTTGGGGGGCATTCCTGGCTTAATGGTATTTAATGAAAGGGATTAAAAATTATTCTTTAATTGGCAATCCGTGGCAAGCTGCCTGCTTTGTGGCATTTTTAGCTTACTGCGTTGTTATATCTGGGTTTTAATAATTTTTGGACTATACACCACCTTAAATGCAGGAGAAGGCAAATTTGAAATTGGTAAATAAAACCATTCGTCAGGATTTTTCTAAGAAAATTCTAGTCAAAGATTAGGTATGTGCGTGTTGTCAAGTTGTAACCAATTTACGGCGAACCCAGCAAGGGACTTTCACAGCAAGTGAGAGGTGGTTTGCCATCACCTGCCTCTGCAGAGCCTTCCTTGGTGGTCTCCCATCCAAGTACAGACCCTGCTTAGCTTCTGAGATCTGACAAGATCGAGCTGTACCATGCCACATTCCTTCCAGTCAAAGATTAGATTGAGAAAATGTAGCAGATTGTTGTTTTTTTTAACTAAATTGACAAAGTGAACATTTTAAAAATGGGAGACATCTTAGACCAGAGTCTCTCTTTCTGAGCCTGTGAGAACTCTTGCAATTCTGACACAAAATGGCTGCTGCAGGAGGTGGAGGCCACTTCAAAATGGCTGCCCCCGCTAACCTTCAACCACACAGTGAAGATCCTTCTGCTGTGAAGGCAGCTGCTGCCAAAGCATCGTTTAAAAAAATGTGTACAGCCAATCAAAAGCCTGGCTGGGCAAAAGCCCCACCTGGCCCCACCCACTTTCTAAAAGCATTTGGTAGGCACTGGGGGTGTCTGCGGGTGGCAAATGGGGGATCCCTGCCTTAAATCAGTATTTGGTAATATTTGGAAGCCATTTGTAAACTCTTGGAAATCAACACTTGATGTGCAAAATGGTGCTCATAATTGTTTTTCTTTATTTTAAAGTCGTAGGATGTAATTTGTCGAATTTTGTATATATTTGACTGCATTCGGTGTAAAAATGATTTAAAAACATATAAATATCAAAAAAGAAGGATTTTTTTCTGAAGGTTAATCAGAGACGAGGAATACTGCGTTGGAACTTTCAGCCAGCAGCGTCTGATTCAGAGATACCTCTGGAGCGAAGCACAAGAAAAGCCACACAGAAAGCATCACAGGTGCACCACAAAGCCCTGAGGAGAAAAATGGACACCTTCTACTTTTGTTAAGCACTGAACACACTAAGCCAAACGCAGGCAAGCCAGGGGCAAGGGGAGGAAGCACAGTCAGAACCGTGGCCAGCTGTGATGACAACACCAGCGGATGAAGGAAGCATCTCACGGACCCGTGTTTGCGCCGACACATATGACCCCCCCTTCCAGTGGCGCTCAGGCATGGCTCTCCAGAGAGAGGGGTTTCGCTCCAGGCTCCGGCTCCGTTCCTCTGAGCCAAACAAGGCCCTCTTCCCCCAGTAGCGAGGCCCAGGGGAGCGGCTTGGGGACCCGATCCACTCCATGCTCTCATCCTCCCAGCTGTTGCTTCTCTTCAGCTCTCTGGGGCCGCTGGACCGGATAGACTCCGACTGACTGGAGCAGTCGCTCCAGCCGTCCTCACAGTCTGTGGGAGACCCGTCAGCTCGCCCGTCTGAACTCAGCTGGCTCACCGGGGTGGATGTCATGGTCAGATCTTGGTCATCTTCAGAGTCGTATTCAATGTCAATTTCCAAACTTTCCGGGCTGACACAAAGGGGTAGGCCTCGGAGGCCGCCTTCCCCTACCTCATGGGCCACCGTCCTCCTTGGAGATGCTTGGTAGGTCCTTGGCCTTGCCCAACTGTATAGATCCGACGACTCCTCCAGACCCAGGCTGGTTATCACATCCAAATTCTCCTTCAGGCTCTGGGTACGGTACAGGCCACCTCCCCCAGTTTGGTGGGAACTGCCCAACAAGGAGCACCTATGCTCTTGGACATCTCCCTTTCTCGTCCGGTTTGCTGGGGCTTGGCTGTGGGTCTTTTCTTTATATCGACTAGGTTTCTTCCACTGGGAGGTTCTTCCTATTCCAGTAGACCTCAGTCTCTTCTCTTGACTCTCCCAATTCCACCTGCTGGATATTTCAGGGCAAAATGGTGCTTCGTTAACATTATCTTCATTAACGTGATCTTCTCCTCTGAGCTTCTGAGGCAGGTCTCTTTCCACCAAGATCTGGTCCGGCAGAGACTGATTTCTTTTTGGCAAACACCCCTGTTGGGAGCTCATGGGAGGAAGAGGCTTCATCCTTCTGGTATCGTACGGTGGCGGCCTCTCCGGGAGGCAATCCGCGGCCTGTGGAGAGGACGAGAGGTTCTTCCTCGGCACATGCTCCCAGTCTTCCTCCTCCTCTTCTTCGGTCACTTCTGGGATGCTGAAAAGGGCTTTGCTGCATTTCTTTTGCAACGGCATCTCCAGAATCCGTTCCAGGATCTCCTCGTCGCTATCAGTGTCGCCCGGGTCCAGCTGCGTTCCAGCCCCAGAGACCAGGCACGCAAGGAAGAAGCAAAGAGAGAAAGAGGAAAGAGACGTTAAACATGCGGGGGGGGGGAGTAGGCACCTCCCATCTCTCCTCTGAATCACACACTAGGATCCATTGCTGAGATTGTAACTATGGAGCTGGAAGAAGAAAGCAATCCGGAAGGAAGAGTGTGGAGGGAAAGGAGATGGACATGGAGGGTACGAGAATAGCCCGGAACACCAGCTTACACCCAGGAAGCTTGCCCAGCGTCAGGCTGAACAAGGAACGATTGCATGAACATATGAAGTTGCCTCATGCTGCCAGTCTGACCCTTGGTCCACTTAGCCTTGCCACCTGTTCTGACCCACCACGGTTCAAAGGGATCCCCTGCAGAGAAAGATCCTTCCCAACAGTACATCAGCCACCAATCAAGACCCTTTTCCTCTGGATCCTACAGTGTGTGTAGCGGGTTACACGGGTTGGGGATAATGCAGGAGTCACATATAACAGAACACCCAAGTTTATTCAGTTTGTAAGCATGACCCGTAATGCCTTCCCGGCTCTAGCCTTTTCTACACAGGCAATAGAGCGGCACTGTACAAAATGATCCATAAAGTTACTTAGAAAAATTATTAGGGACCACGGTCTCTGTACTACTGCATACAGCTTGCTGAAACTAGGATCCTACTATGGAATTTTGCATCGTTTTTTAAAAACTCTTTATTGAAGATTAAGATAAAATACAATGCAGTACTTCGTGAAGCATGAAATCAGGATTCCTCGAAAAACTAAAGACCTCATTTCCACCCTTTTGGGAGCAGCAAAACATGTTCTTGCTTCAAATTGGAAATTTCAAAATATCCCCTCAATGCATCAGTGGTACCAAAAGGTATGGGAATATTTTTTACTGGACAAGACCTCAGACTGGATTGCACAACAAGATAAACAGGTTACCTCTACTAGTATTATGGCCAATGGTCATAATGGCTAGATGCTTTTGCTGACCCAGAAAGAAGCTTACAGAAAGCACCTTTAATTGGTTCACACACCTTATATCTTTACCATTAAGTAGTTGAAGGATCTTTAAAACTGGCTTGAACTCCATTTCTTTTTCTTTTAAATTATTTGGTTGATGAACTCAAAATTAGAAGATAACTTATAATGACAATCCTTGATTCACCACAAACTTAATGATCATTGTGTAATTTTGCATCGTTTATTTTGTCATGTTAACAATGTTAACAATGTTAACACACATGCTTTGCTTCAGTTCTGTTTTTAGACTTCTGGTTGGTTCTACAATCCTAATCTTATTGCATTGCTTATTGAATGTCCCATCCGTTGATCGTCTTGCCTCCCTCTGTGTAATCTGCCTTGAGTCCGAGTGAGAAAGGTGAAACATAAGTAACATAAATAAAATAAAAATAAATCGTCTGATAGCTGACACAGTTACTAGAACTGGCTTGTGCGATCTTCATAATGGTCACAATGCTAGGTCTTTCAGTATGGCAGATTTAAAGACTAAACTAGACACCATTCACTGTTTGTATTGAGGAATAACATCCTATCCTGCCTGTCAAAAATCGTGCGCTACAGTCTCTGCTGGGCTCGCTGTCTAGTTGGGATACGTCCTACCTCTTCTCCCTCCAAACCCCAACTGCTGGAGATGTCAGGGACTGAACCTGGGACCTTCTGCATGCAAAGCAAGGGCTCTGCCACTGAGCCATGGGCCTGTTTGGTGTAGTGGTTAAGTGTGCGGACTCTAATCTGGGAGAACTGGGTTTGATTCCCCACTCCTCCACTTGCACCTGCTGGATGACCTTGGGCAAGCCATAGTTCTGGCACAGCTGTTCTTGAAAAAGAGCAGTTTCTGTCAGAGCTCTCTCAGCCCCACCTACCTCACAGGGCGTCTGTTGTGGGAAGGGGAAGGGGAAGGAGTTTGTAAGTCACTCTGATCTCCTTTGGGTAGTGAAGGGCGGGGTATAAATCCAATCTCTTCTCTTCTATGATGCAGCTGTCTTGTGCCTAGTTAGAGCCTTGATCCATCCAGGTGAGGAATTCCTATTCTGAACTTTGATCCACCCAGCTCAGGGGTCTCTGTTTTGTACCTTGATCTAACCAGCTAAGGGACTCCCATTCCGAGACACTCCGCCAGAGAAGGGTGCCCCCCCCCCCCAGTGCTTGCTACACTTGAGATCCTTTAACTAGAGTGTGAACCTGTGGGCCGTTGGCAAAGCAGGAGATCTGTCACTGAGCTGGGGTATTTTGCCATAAGAAGCTGCCTTGTAAGGCCCATCGGTTCGTCTGCCACACTGTTTTGAGCAGCAGGGGCTTTTTTTTGGAGTCAAGTCAGAAGGCCTTCCTCTGCGGGCTGAGACTCATTTAACTGGAAAGGCATTTTAGGTTGGGAATATCTGCAGGGAAAGCGGCTGGTCACTTTTATCCCACCCTTCCCCCCAAGACGTTCAAGGTGGTATATGCAGCCCCCCCCCCCATTTTATCATCTCAACAACCCTTCCCGGTAGGGTAATGCTGATAGAGAGCGCCTGGCCCAAGACCACTCTGGGAATATTTTGGAGGGTAACCAGAGGTTGGAACGGCTGTATGATTAGCATAGCTCTGCCAACCCAGGCAGCCCGTCAGCTCCTCCTAGTTACAAAAGTGCTTCCAGCTTGGGTTGCTGAACTCCACGTGGGGCTTGGGAGTTCTCCTGGAATTATAACTGGTGTCTTGGAGGAAACGGCAGCTTTCGAGAGCTGACTCTGTGGCACGACATCTCTACTGAGCTCCCTCCTCTTTGCAAACTCTGTCCTTCGCAGGGTGGAGCGCAGGTGACAGTGGGGAAACAGTGCTGGAGGGAAGGATTCAGTCACCTCTTGTTGCTGTGGCCCTATTATTATTATTATTATTATTATTATTATTATTATTATTATTATTATTATTATTACCCTCCCACCCGCATGGCCACTTTTTATTACTTAAATGCCCATTTTATTTTATTTTTTTAGCCACCCCAATAACCTATTGGTTTGAGGGCAGGACAAAAGTGCTGAAAATCAATGTATTTAAGCAATGATGGACTTAGAAAGCCCATGCCGTGTCCTGTCAGGCCCTGTGATGTCAGAATCTATGCGTAAAGTTGGCTGCAGAGAGTACAGATCAGGTGAATCCCATCCTCACATTTTGTGCCAAAAATAACCCCAATTTCCACACGAACCTTTGTATCGTAACCACACATTAAGTCCCTTTTATGTAAGGTGAGAGTCCATTAGGCAAATCCAAAGCATTTCTTTGGCCTTTTCAAGCAGTCAGAAAACCACTTAAAGGTTACTTATGCAACACATAATTTATGTAAATCTGCATATTTTGCATGTATATTCACCCTCTGCAGGCTTTTTGTTGTTCAGTCGCACAGTCGAGTCCGACTCTTTGCGACCCCATGGACCAGATCATGCCAGGCCTTCCGGTCTTCCGCCGTCCTCTGAAGTTTGCTCAATTTCATGTTCGTTGCATCTGTGACACTGTCTAACCACCTTTGCCGTCCCTGTCTTCTTTGACCTTCAATCTTTCCCAGCATGAGGGTCTTCTCCAGTGAGTGCTCCCTTCTCCTTTGGTGGCCAAAGTATCTGAGCTTCAGTTTCATTATCTGGCCTTCCAGGGAACAGTCGGGGTTGATTTCTTTTAGGATTGACTGATTTGATCTTCTTGCAGTCCAAGGGACTCTCAAGAGTCTTCTCCAGCTTAACCCCACCCCACCCCAATTTACCATTTTAGGGTTTTTAAAATTTTTGTTTGGCAAACAGCTGCTCTCTGTGTGTGTGTGTGGGGGGGGAAGTGTAGGAGGATGATTCAGTTAGGGCAAAGAAGCTCCTCCCTCTAAATGCCTGACCCTGGAACGCATCTGCCTACTTTCACACCTCCTCCACGAGGACTGGAGCCTTGTTCTGAGATGCTCATGGTTTTGCAGCAAGTCACCAGAGTCTTCTAGGTCCCTGCAAACATGTTGTATTCTGTGGCCCTGTGGCAAAGGATCAGCCCTGTTTAACCCCCCCTGCCATACCCTTGGCCCCATATTCTGCTGAAAAGCCAGGCTGAATTAATTAGTGTTTGTCTGCTGCACGGTGGATGGCTACCTAGAAAGGGCACTTTGTATTTAACTGCAGTGCAAATTGTTGGGGGAAGAACATCTGAACGTCTTCCAGGAAGTGAGCATGTGATGAAGTTGAAGCACTGGTGACACTGTCCACAGTTACTGGAAAGACACCTGCCATGCTTGCAGTGTGCACCTCTTCTGCAGAAATTCCATTTTTGGAAGGACACTCGCCATGAGATCAATCCAGGGCTTCCTTTGAACAAGCGCTTAAGCCCCAAACCTGTTCTCAACAGCTGGACACAGCTCTGGAGTGAATGATGTCATCTAAACGGAAGCATACCTCTGCAGGCCCCTGCATGTGGACAGGCTTTCGTCTGCAGGCTGCAGCATCCACAACCACTTTGGATGTGTTTGGAACAGGGAGAAGCGATTCTAGGCCCCAGTTTCAAACCCTGACACCTCTCCTACGTGGAAAGTAAGACTTGCCTCCCTCTTGGTCCACTGAAAGCCCACATTCCCTGTTTCTTGTTGCAGGGAGGACAGTCACACTTAACGCACAAGAACACCCAAGGATCCCAGCACTGCATGAATTTGGGGGGCGGCCATGTTGACAATATTGTGTACAATTCCAGCCTCTCCCTCTTGAAGAGGATATTGAAGTTGAAAAAGGCATAGAAAAGGACACCTAAAACGATGCATATTCTGCAAGAGGGAAAGACTATAGATCTTGGGAGATTATTTTAGGTTGGGAATGGGAAGACAATGGGGAGTGGAGAGAGTCCTGGAGGGTGTTTATGACATTATGAATGAGATCTTGGGAGAGAACGGACAGAGAGTGATTCCCCTCCCTATGGTACAATGCAAGAATTCAGGATCACCCAAACGCAGCCAATCTGTCATAGGTTCGGGATG